TTTTCGGAAGTATGACCATGTGTCTGCTTTGCGTTCCCAATTAAACCGGTTGTCTATTCGCTTGCACCGCAAACAGCGTGCACTTACCTCTCTATTTTCATTTTTCAATTCACCGTCCTCACCTACTTACCTTACTCCCTACTTCCATTAACTGTCTACTAATCAATCTTCCCTCAGATAACAATCTGCTTCTCTTATATCCCTCCCACAACTCCGACGTCGTGAACTCTTCGTTCTTTGTTCAAGCTTTACTATTCTGGAATGCGCTCCCGCATCATCCTCAGGATGTCCCAAACCGCTTTATATTCCAAAAGAAGGTACATGATCTCCTTCTTAATGAAATGGCAGAACGGTCTAATCCATAGTTAAGTATACCTCATATTCTGCCGGTATTCATAATGTACGAGTATGAATAAAAATATGTCTATCTATCTATATAAATATATTTGTATATACATATATATATATATATGTATGTGTATCTATGTGTATTTATGATGTGTAGTATTGTATGTGTGAATATGTGTATATATTTTCATTAAACACTTGATATTATGATGTTACCTATTATGTTATGTGTACCTACTTTACAAGATTTCTACATCACCCAAAGGTTGACCGGAAGAAAATGCCCTGGGGATTAATAATAATAATAATAATAATAATAAATCTTTATTTCAGAATAGTTTCGATATAATGTTTATGATATTTCTTTATTTTGGTTACATTACTTATGTAGCTATCTGTAACCATTTTTTAAACATGGAACTGTTACATACCCTGTCAGCAAGTTCCTTAATTATAGTGTTCCTACACGAACCAACCCGGGCCATAAACGCCGCGATTCGGCTTCTTTGGATGGCATTAAACGTGTTCAGTCTTGCCTCTACAAACATTGTGGAGGCGCTACAGAAAGGTGACCCCATAAGGTGCCTATAGATATTATTGTACTGAACACGAATGCCATCCAAAGACCTCTTCGTATATGCAGTCCAGAGTTGACACGTGTAGAAATTCTGACAGTATGCTCTGAACAGGTGCACTTTAGTCTGTACATTGGCATTAAAAAATCTCCTGGCAATCATATTGCCAACGACTGAGAGTGCTCGACGCTGTCGATCTATATCAGCGTCATCTCTCATGTCTGACGTGAGTATGTGACCAAGGTACTTGAACCTCCCCACCATGTTAACTATCTGTCCTCCTAACCACACCGGAGGCACGTTCTGAGGACCTCTTCCCGACCTGAATACCATCATTTCAGTCTTTTTTGCATTGTATACTAACTCATGCTCTGTAGCATATCTCTCACATATAGCTAGCAGTCTTCTTAAGCCCTTGATCGAGGGGCTGAGCAGGACCATATCATCAGCATAACTTAAGTTGTTGACGTATCTGTCACCAAGTTTGAGCCCTACCGGAGTCCTGCTCAGCTCCCCTATTAGGTCATTGATGTAGAGGTTAAACAGGTCAGGAGAAGTCAACCCCCCCTGTCTAACACCACATGATAGCTTGTAGCTGTCCGACATAGCAGTCCCCCACCTGACACTATTATACTGATTACAGTACCAGTATCTAATCAGTCCAACAACGCCCACCTGCAAGTTACTGTTATCTAGTTTGTCCCATAGCAAGTCGTGGTTAATAGTGTCGAATGCGCGACTTAGATCCAGGAAACAAGCATAAACACTTGTATCTTGGCTGACGTACTGCGACACGACCTGTTTTAGGGAGAAAATAGCCATGTCCGTTGATACCTCAGAGCGAAATCCAAACTGTCCATCATTTATCTTTAAGGATGGACTCAACTTTTTGTGTATCAACCGTTCAAGTACCTTTGCCACTACCGTTGCCAAGGAAATGGGCCTGTAGTTGGAAATGCTCGAGACATTACCCGTTTTGTTCTTGGTTATCGGTACCACAACAGTACGGATAAGATCAGCAGGCAAGTACATATGTCGCGCACAGAGACTGAAAAAACGAGCTAAAATATCAGCAATATACCGGCCCGCATAAAGTAGATGTTCCAAGCTTAAACCATCATGGCCTGGGGATTTTCCACGCCTCATCCCTCTGAGTACATTGATAACCTCGTCAGAAGTGACGTGGAAAGCTTCCTCCTCTGCCTTATACTGCCTAGAAGACCCCTCGGGCCACGCCCTCCTTGTGGTAGGCCGCGGTATATCAAAATGCATTCGAAATTTGTTTGCAATACCTTTTTTATCAGTTTCACCCTCTACACTGATCGGGGCACTACTCTTAGGGTTCAGTTTTTTAACTTCAGTCCAGAAACTACCGAAATTCCCAGCTGACGCATGTTGGGCCAAAAAGTCCATTTTATTTTTTTCCTGGTTACTCTGTACGTACTTAAGCGCAGCTTTAAAGTCTCTGTGCGCAGTACACATTTGTTCGTAGTAATATCCCGAGCACGGTCTACCATATGTATTCCATTCTATGAATGTACGCCTGGCCAGAACGTGATACTGTCTTACATGGTAGTTCCAACCCACTATATTGCGTTTTTTGGTATCTTTATAGACATATGTACATTCAGCGGCTCTTTGTAATATATTTACTATAGTACTATATATTCTATCAATTATTTCTATATGCTTTTTATCATTACATGAATTAACCTCACACTTCAAATTAAAATTATTATTACTATACATTAAACTAAAGTTATCACAACAAATTTCACGATATTTATCACATTGATCCTTATTTCTATAACCCCATCTAAATTTTAAATTGCAGTCAGTTCCAGTATCACTTATCAGTCGTTTGCAACTAATATTATTAAAACTTACCTGTATCACTAAAGGGAAGTGATCGGACAGATAAGCATCATACAACACGTGTACCCCGCTTACCGCTGACTCGGCCGCCGTGGAAACAAGGCAGTGGTCAAGCCAGCGTTGCGAACCTGTCGCGTCACTTACATATGTATATGCATTTACATCTAATCGCTTAACATCTATACATGACAAAAGCTCCTCAGAGCAGTAGTCCAAGAGTTCTTTGTAAAACCTCGTACCAGGGTGCGCATTAAAGTCCCCCAACACAAAAACACTTTCTACGTCCATACTTTCAATTATTGCACTAATATTAGCTAGACACTGTGACATTTCATAAAAGTTCTCTTCACTATCGGTAGGCATATAAACACTGAATACTAGTAAACTTCGATCATCATGCTCAAGTTTAACCGCAACAATACGATCACTGTTACACTGTACTATTTCCGCACGTGCAAATATTCTGCGGTCCCACAAGAGAGCGACCCCCCCGTACGGCCGCCCACGCACCACTCCTTGTCCCGTGTCGATAGCAGAAATACCATGACTACCGAAATGCTCACTGATTGTAGTTAATATACCAAGATCATGAGGAAACAACCAAGTTTCCTGTAGTGCGATTATTTGTTGGTTAAGACAAAAATGTGTAATTTCTTGTATAGACCTCTTCAACGATCTGCAGTTATATGAAATACAGCTAATTATGTTTGTGTTATCCATATTAATTTATTTGTATTGTCTTACGAGAATTAGTCGGTGCGTAGGGCGCTTGTGGCCTGTCACTGGTTCGATTACGCTCCCAGTACTTCCGGAACACAATATTAGCCGGCCAGAATTGAGTAGCGCTGTCATTCAAGAACAAATCAATATTAATTAAGGGTACAATCACTTTAAAGGCATTGAACTCCTTATTTATATTATTTATCTTGACAACCTGTACATCTAAATTAGTCTTATATTTAATAAATGCCTCAATATAATTGGAAGTGGTATCTATACGTACTCTAGAAACAAATAAAGGTACTGTTCTATCTGCGGCCTTAAAGTTAAACTGCTCCAGAGGTTGAGCGCTCCCTCTTCTGTTCTGTATTCTAACTAATTTATGACGCTTGTGATGAACCTTGGTCCAACCATCCTTTAGCTTATCGCTACTAGAAGTACCACCACTTTTAACAGCGTCTGCCATTAAGTCCGCCGATGTACAAAAGCATAAAGTTAAATAAATAATAATATCAGTATATAGGTCTACTGTTTTTATATATAAATACCTTTTTTTTATAAAGTGTAGTAAATGTTTAAAAATATAGTTAATATGCGTGTATATAATAAATAAACAGAATAATAATAATAATAATAAACTCACACATCTCACACGCGGCCGTTTATCCTACACTAAGCAAAGCCTGTACCTACAGCTAGGTAACCAGGCTGTTGATAAACCTGCCTATATATTTCTAAATACATACATATGCACATCATACAAATATTCGTCCTGGTAGGAATCGAACCCACGACCTTAAAAAAAACGAAAATTAATAGAGCAAAATAGTATAAGATTGTAGTCGATGAACTGCGGTCTACAATATGAATGTTGAGAAATGTTCAGAAGTGCATTCATTTTATAGCTTGACTTAACGCAAAATATAAATTGTACTAAAACATTTTGATTGTGGTCAAAAGATTAGACAAATTTAAAATTACCTACTAAAATATTGGCATTGGCAATATAATTTTATTATGTCATTACTTATGAACTGACAGTACTCCATAGATTAAGTGATGTTATCAACTGACAGCTGTCAGAGTGTTTAGGAATCAATTTTCATTTTAATTAAATAAAAACTAGTAGAAGAAGATTCAATAAAGTACAATGTAATCGATGAAAATTAAAACTTATTTGATGTCAGGAAGCTACCGAGAGATAAAGGAAATAAAAAAAGTATAGTTTTGTAAAATGTGTTTATTTACACTTTGGCAGTGATGGCATGAATTACATCTTTTTTTTATTTACAAAGAGAGTTACTGTATTGAGACCTAAGTTCGTTTGAGCACATTTCAATCCATTGTGAGAAGCGGTGTTGTGGGTAACCCTTAGCCAATATTACCTGGAAACACTGGCAACATTGACAATATTACTAGTGTCACTAGGTATACTGACACAGGGTAACCGTTATTTAAAAATGACGATAGTTAAATAACGGTTTACCAGACGCGGCCGGCCCAGCCTGCGCCTAATCCGTGGATGCCGTAGGGGGCGGCGATTCCTAAGGGAGCGGCGAGTCCGTAGGGAGCGGCCAAACCATTGTAACCGTAAGGAGCGGAGAGGTAGGCGCCTTGGGCGGCAGCAGCTACACCATTAGCGGCGGCAGCGTAGGACTGGGCGGCAGCGACGGCATTTTGGTTAGCGGCAAGGGATCCCCAGTAAGAGTTCTCGTGGATGTTACGGTTGACCTCAGCAGCTTGACGGACAGCTTCAGTGTTGTATTGGATGGCGGCTTCAGCAGCACGGGCTTGGCTTTCACCAACGGCACGGGCGTGGTCCTGAGCGGCGACCGTGGCGTCGATGGCAGCGGCCTGTGCGTCACCAGCGTTTATACCATATACTAATGGTCCAATTGCGCCGGCGGAGGCATAGCCGAGGATGGCGACGAAAGCGATCTGCAAACGAAACGAAAGGGTTATTAAAAAAGTTGCCATTACAATTACTACTAATTTGAAGATTGCTAGTATGATTTCTTTAAAAACTTTTAAAAAGAATCACATGTTATATGTGTTAATACCTAAATAACGGTGTAACGATACGTAAAATTCCTTACAAGTTATTTTAATTTCCTTTCTATTACGAAAGTATACCTTGAAATTATACACGCACATTAGTAAGTAGTTAAATATCATTGTTATTAGGTACATACATCCGTTAATTTAATGATATGCTTGTATAATATTTACATAAAATAACTGACCCATATAGCAACCTAATATTTCTAGCATGTTGCTATTTGTATACATATTGCAGGGAATTTGTACATAACCATTTGTAGTATTATTATGCAATAATAATATACTACTATTAATTATTTTGATCGAATGGAGAGAACAAAACAAAATTGACTTAAAATTTTGACACCGTCTTATTAGCTTGTCAATACAGATAATTAGATGAAATAGAAATCTGATTTACAACTATGCGAATTGTGCTTTAGCTATCAGTTCTGACAGAAAATTATGTATTTCTCATAGCATTATATAGTAAACTTAAAATAGCTAAAAAATGTGATTTACACAAATTGCTTCTGCCATTTTAATTGCTTACGCGTCTTTCAAGCTCTACACACCCGTTTGTTTCTGTCGGTTACAATGAACATTAATTACTTTTTGAATTAATTACAGCTTTTTTTTTGTAGAAGCCGATATGTGATCATGCGGAACATTTCTCGTTTAGTTATTATGAAATACCGATACCGTTCACCGATAAGCAGGATGTTTGCAACTAGTTTTTGTGGAAAACCTTTATTGCTGCGTCAGTTTCCCGTTTTTGGTACTAACACCCTGTTACAGAAAGGCTGATCAATGTGTTGTTAAATAGAGCTGTCACGTCAACAGTAGTGTCAAATCAGTTAGAGTTTCTGAAACGTTAATCAATTTAAAATTGAAAAACAACATTCGAAATTCGAATAGCATTTGACGTAAGATTTTGAAATGTAAATTGACAGCTCTGTAAAGTGAGATCTGACCAAATCAAAGTAAACTTGCTTTTAGCAACTCAATTTATACTTGTCAAGAGATTTGACGACGACAAATACTACAAAGTTTTTTATCAACCTTTTATAGCTTTTCAGAAACCGCGTGTTAATCTATTAGTATAAAGGACTTTTAACAAACCATTTTATAATATGTCTACAATTTTGTTTATAATATTTCATTATACTCAACTTCTTGTTTAAGTTTCTTCCACAAAGTGTAAATGAAAACAGATCATAACCTCACATTTGTTTCTAGCGTTTACCGCCAAAAACATTTGTCACATATTGTAAAATCTGGGTCAATGACATCATAATTTAGACCAAGGAAACATTTAAAAACTGCAATACATTATGCTATATTATTATATATTTAAAATGGCGCTTGCCTAATTATATTTTCTATTTACATTCTCAACTGCGCCCTGCTTAAATGGCACATTGATAAAGCCTTTAGTTGCTTTGAAACTTAAATAATTATATCACTCACTGACAACTTTACCTGTACCCAAGTATGCTTTGAATACAAATATATGTTAAGTTCAGTTTATGTCTTGTAAAGTACCTAATAATTGCAATAGGCGGACTTAAGATTTATTCAGATTTGACTTGCATAGATTTCATTACGGACGAAAACCGCGTTTGACTTATATATAACGTTTGACTTATATATAATATATATATAACCAAAATAGAAGTTTCAATAACGGTGTTGTCAGAATGACAGTTAAGGCCGAACAATGGCGATATATCTGCATCATAATGCAAGGCCTTGACACTATGTATGTTCTAAATACAGAGGTGTACGTGTCTCGTATGACACAATATACTTCGATATTGACATGACTGTCGAACTTCTTAGGAAAACTTCATTTGAACGTGTACATTTTAAATATATGTTCAAAGTTACCCTCATTTAGAACCCTAGGCAATAAAACGGGGACATTATGTAAGCCTTTTTTATGCAAATTAATTATAGTTAAGTAAAGTGATTATAATGCCGCAATTTTGTGATGATTATGTTTTTAGAGCTATTAATATACAAGTCAAGTTTCGCATTTGATAAAATATCACATCATCTAATTAAATCATAGTAATGAATTATGAAATCAAAGCCGTTAGTATGCTTAACTCGTGTTAATTGCCGCCATATTTGTACGGTCACAACACTAACTACATAAGCCTAATTTTGTTTTTTGTATCTATGGTTCGTTTTTTTATTCGTCCTTGATAATGACATTGCGTGTTATGGAACGTGATTGATATTTTTTTTGTCTGTGGTGATTTTGATTTGATCGATATAGATTGTTTTTTAGGTAAGATTTCAATTAATTTATATAAATGTATGTGGTATATGTTTGGAAACAATGCGGATAATAAAGTAGGAAGGTACTTTAGGAGGACGTTGAGTTCTTTAATGCTTTCCGCTGTTTAATTAGTGGAGTTAATTAATAAATGCAATATAAAAATTATTCTGTACAACATTTGTTGGACTAATCAGCCAGTGTCTTTTTTATATTATGTATGATTCTTTACCTCGTTGTACTAAATATATTTGTAATTATTCCTTTTTTTATTTAAACACAATAGATAGATTTACTATATGAGACTAGAAATTTAATGGTTTAGGGTTTAAGCCTTCCAAATTGGGTCCCACACACATACATACATATATATGTATTTGCCTGCAAGCCGAAGTATGGCTTTTAAATAAAGTTTGCCGGAAAACAACATTGTGATGAAAACCGACAGTTTTATGGCAGACAACAATAAAACGTAATCGATATTTTCCCACATCAATTGCAATTTGTCAAAGCTACTCTTATCTTAAAAAAAACGGATGTATTACTGTAAATTGCATGGATTCGATTAGTCGATTAGTTCTCTTGTTATTTTGGGTTGTTGGCTTTTAGAATATTTATATAGAATGGCTCTACTATTTAAGTTGGCGGGAAATGTAGATATATATTTTGTCATTAGCAAAGATGTAATATTATAATAACGAATGCAGTAAAAAATGGTTGATAACTCATATTATACCTACATATGTACGTTAAAACCGTAATTCAATAGTTATGAATACCGCGCATTTGTGTTGAAAATTGAGCATAAAGCCAGATGTTTGAGATGTTATGCTTAAATCTGGCTACATTGTGACGCGTGCACAGATAACAAACATAACGCCTAGTCACAAATCATGATTATGATAATATTGAATAAATTAAATGTAAATAGTTTTATATTGGGAAATAGATTCCATTTTGGTTAATCTACCAGTTAAAAAAATAAGCATTTCAAATAATTCGAACCGAATAAAATACTTTTTTATTTTAATTTAATGCGAAAATATCATTCGTTAATTGTTTTAATTAAAAATATAAGTGCTTTGCACTATTTACTGTGCGCGTTCTATTGTTCTACTTTTAAAAGTTTAAGGAAGTATTCGAATATGCAGAAATAACTGGGATGTAATAAATAATAATGTGAACATTTGTATATACTCGTATATATAATATATTACAAAAACATGTTTTAATAAAACGTATTAATAACAAATTTTCTAGTCAACCTTGTCATACAAATTGATATGACTCGTTACTGATAATTGGATCAATATTGTCGCAGAGCCGTGGTCGGAATGCGATCTTGAAGAATTAAATACCTTTCATAGCGTCTACTATGATTATAAAAACTTAATAACTGGCTTTAAAGAGTAATTGGTGTAAGTACAAAAATTTCTGGAATGTATCGGTATTCTTGATAAAACTATAGTTTAAGGAAGTTACAAAAAGTGACCATAGTGACCATAGTGTCGCGTAATTAATAAGTTTTCAAATATTTATTTTAATGTCAATTATGTAGAAAATTTATAGTTATATTTGGAAGCATTTAGGTTAAGATTTAAAAAGTCTTTTAGGAAACGATCAAAATTATTAATAGTAAACTAATAAAAGCATGTTTAAACAAGATATTTAAAAACCGAGTATTTAACACTGTTCGATTATCAAAATCCGAAAACTATAGGCGATTGATTTATCGATACGTTTTGTTATCACTGTATAGTATATTATATTTATTATTATTATTTTATAATAAATAAAAATCGTACCAGAAATCTCATCTTGCACTTCTGTTTGACTGCTTGATAGCTACTGAATACTGTGGTGGAGTTCGCCCTAGCTTTTATACTAAACCCGACAATGTTATTGAAAGTCGCCAAATGGACCTGTTGTTGAGGTGTTAGAGGCGGATCAGTGATGCGGGCAAGGTCTCGAAATATAATTTTTTTGAAGAATTTTCGAAAATAGAATGTGACATAGAATTTCATACTTTGTTTTTTTTTTTAAATAGACTTTTGTGTATGTTCTGCCAAATGTTTTAGTAAGTTATTTTAATCGGATAGTAACAATTTCCGGAAATTTATAAAACAGATAGTTCCGTATATATGTGACCATTACAGGAGTTTATAATTAACACATTAATTCTAATGTAAATGGATTTATGTGTTAATGTTGAATTTAACATAAGGGAATAAAATCAATGTTGTATATAGATTTCGCCGTAAGGTCTTAAATTAGTTTCTGAGTCAGGTAAACGGCTATTTCCTTGTTTTTTTTTATCTCCAAATTTACGCCCTATATAGGCTTCTACAGCGAGGTGTGTTGAAATTCGAAGCGTTATGGGCATCGACAATTTGTTTGAAGTTTCTTTTTGTTCTTTTTTATTTCGCAATTTTTTTATGGTTATTTCAATTTTTTTTTTTTATTATTTTGCAGACTTGTTTTAGAAAACACTGTATCTTTCTTTTAGAAATACTTTATTAAATTCTATGAAAACACTCTATACTACGAGTAATACCGGTCCTGTGCTGCTTGCATCCATGTTAGCCTCTTCCCCTTATAAAATATTAGCTTTATTAATCCATTCACAAGCTCAATTACAGAAATCTGAAGGATTTGGACTCTTACAACAGTATCCAAATAACACTTCTGTAAGAAAAATATCGAATTTTTGATTATCTATTCAGATTACCTGACTCGCGCAACATTGTCTACGTCTTTCAAAAGGAATAAATGTTCCCCGTTTTAGTAATATTATTCACTGATGCTCCGCTCCTATTGGCCGTTGCGTGATTTTATATAGCCGATAAATGAGCTATCCAACACTAGAATATTTTTTTTAAATTGAACTAACAATTTCTGAGATCAAGAAAGGGTAGAAACGCACTTGTGACTCTTAGATGGCACCGTAATGTCACAGACTGGTGGCTTACTGGTCTAGTGTATAGTGACCCTAGTTAACGGTTAGGGTAAGCACCAGAACAGGGATATAAAAATATATTTCTGATTGTATAGCTATTTAAAGGGTATGCTTTTGCTGTTTGCTATTTTAACAAATAGCTAATTTACGGCTCGACACTACGTCATCTTATCATGACTAATCACTGTTAAAATAAATAATGTTGAAAGTATTCGGAAGTAGACACGATCGTAGGCATTCTTGCATTGTTATGAGTTGTGACTTGCTGAAATTCCGATCAATGTCGTTCGTTTACTAGCTCTTAGCACTATATGATAATAAGGATTATATAACGCAAATAAAGCTGCTTATTTACCATTAAGAAGGCAAATAATGATGTTGAATATCGGTGGTATTAGTCATAGTCTATAAAAGGTGTGCCTTCTGAATGCAGTAGATCTTTACCTGATCAAAAGAGTATAGCATTATTACCGTATTTATGTATTTTTCTGCTTTTGAGTGAGATCTTAAAAACTCCATGAGACGATTCTCACAACGAACTCTTGATTCGCAAAAGACATTCTGCGCTAGAGACATTTTGCGACCCGTAGGCATATCGAGACATTATACACTTAGGTATATAGACATTTTACAAATATTAATCAATATTTATTTAGATTCTCACGCAGGACAATTGAGTGGTTAATAAGCACGATAGTAGGTATGCATTTATAGGTAGCAGCGTCAGCCAGAGAGTTACAGCTACGCTGCGGGTCCTTTATTGGCTTAAGAATTTCCTCCCCTCCGAAACAAAACCGATGCTTTAGTAGACCCTATTGTCCCCATGGATTATGGTGATGTATGCTATTATGACTTGAATGCAGATCAACTCAACAAATATGACCGCCTTGTATATAACTGCATTCGATACGTCTTTAACTTTTCCAAATATGACCATGTTTCTTTCTTTCTCCACGGATTGAACTGGCTCACTATTCGTCAGCGTCGTCGCCGGCAGCTGCGCTCCCCCGCTACTCTCTATTTCATTCTCAACTCACCTATTTTCCCTTACTACCTGACACTTCATTCCATTTTCTGTGTTCTAACCACGATAGAACCCTCCGTTCATCAAACAATCCTCTTCTGCTATGCCCCGCTCATACTTCCGCTTGTGTCCACTCCTCGTTCCTAATCCAATCTCTTCAATCTCAACCTCTGCAACACTCTCCCTCTAGAAATCAGGATAGCACCCACCTCTCATTCAAAATGAAACTTCGAGCTCGCATTCTTCACAGCCTAGCAGATTCATTACAAGTTTTATATATTATTAATATGTAGGTTTATGTATGTGTGTAACTAGGTAAATATTTATTTATGTGTATGTCTTTGGTACGTACGTCATCATCATCAGCCTACTGCCGTCCACTGCTGAACGAAGGCCTCCCTTACGTATTTATGTATATTTATTTTATTGTTTCTGTCTAACCTTTTATTAATTTTCTCCTTCTTACACATCAATGTCTACCTCGTCAGGTAGACTGATATAAATATATAGGTATGTTTATCTGCAGTCTGATTAGCTGATAGCAGGCTCTGCCATGTTTAGGATCAGACGGTCGTGTGTTATTTTTATGTTATTATATTATAATATTATTAAATATCCTTGTTACAACTTATCCTTGTTTTTTAAAGTGGGCTGTTTGTTTCTTTGCCTGTTAATTTAAAAATTCAATTAATCAAAACCGTCGTATTTTTATTTTATTTTGTTTAAAATAATACAAAGGTGTCGTATTTAATTTTATTTAAAAAATATGGTTTTTATATTAGATATTAATTTTATATTTACATTGTTAGACAAAGGCCTTTGTTCACAGAAATAAATTAATTTATTTTAGTATTAAACTTTTTAGTGACTGTTGAATTATTAATATATTTTTTTTCACTTTTTTTAGATATTTTACAATTCGAAGTAGGCGGAAGTTCTCGATCTGTTTGTGTTGACCAATTACATGTTTTTTTTCTAAAATATTAGTTGCCCCGGAGGCCTCCATAAAATAATAGACATGTTTACCCCAATCGACGTTTAATTAATAATTTTGATCATTATCTAGATTAACTTTTATTGCACACACTGATCGGTCACAATTAGATATGTAACGTAAATAATTGGTACTTATTTATCCCCGAAGGGGTGTACAGAGACGTGGTAAAAGCCCACATTCTTAACCGACTTCAAAAAGGAAGAGGTTATCCATTCGGATGTTTTTTTCTGTATGTTCGGGTATCACTCTGTTATATATAGACGAATTTTCAACATTGTTTTTTTGATTGAAAGGTGTTTATTCCGAAACTGTCCCATTTAGATTTCATATAGATCTGATGATGAGAATCGGAGACAGACAATGAAACTCTTCAAAAAATGACAGCAAATCAATCGCGATTGCTGCTAGGTTTTTAGTGCTCTTTGCTAGTATTGTTTGAAGTCGGGTTCCGACCAGGTGTCCTTAGACCCCTTTACGCCGTTTTTTTTTAAATAAGGGAAAAAATTAGTAGTGTACGTAACGAACGGTAAGTGACTACCGTCGCCCATGAATACCTGCAACTCAAGAGTCATAAGTGCTTTGCAACCCTTTGAGTCCTACCCCTTAGAATCAGGGGGAAAGGGGGTTTGGGCTCTGGTGACCTCACTCACTCGGTGTAAAGCAATGAAAGAATTGCTTAACACCGATTTTTCTGTGAGTCCGTGGTATAACTCCGGTCGAGCCCACCCATTTGCTTTGTTTTATGGAAGACTGCCGCCCATGATTTTTATTTCTGTCAAATTTGTCTCTCACGGCAAATACACGTTGTTATACGACATGTTACGCGACGGTGTGAGATGAGGACACTGCTGTATATTTAAGGTTGTTACTGCATTTTTAAGTCTATCCTTATTAATCAGGGTATCGTTTGCAAGTTTGATTAAAAGATTTATACGGTATGCTCGCAACATGTTCAAAGAATGGTACATTATGCCTTTTAAAGAATTGTTATAGATAAAAAGATAGATTACTTGACCATATTTGGACGAATTAAGTAACAACAGTTGTTCTTTTATCTGTTTTACGCTCCCTTCGTATCGTGGTTTCATTTATATTGTATGTAATTAATTAGTTATGTTATGTGGTTGCCTTGCTGATTGATAGGCATCGTAGCGTGATAATATATATAGTACATAACCTTCTTTAATAGATGAATAGATAGATAACTCTTTATTGTACCAGAAAAAAAGGATAGGATTATGGAACAGTTTGTATACTTTTTAATGAGTCTTATAATCTAAGAGCATCCATGTGGTGACGGATTAAGAATACGGAATGTCACCACCCCTATTCATCCCGTGGGTGTCGTAAGAGCCGACTAAGGGAGCAGACTACGCAGGACAACAGCACTGCAATGAGAAAGAAAACTTAACACAAACCCTATACCAACCCGTCTGGCCAGCGTGGTATAGTAGGCTAAAACCTCCTTTCTACGGAGAGACCTATGGCCAGCAGTGGACTATTATAGGCTGTTGATGTGATGATGGTGATAATCTAGGAACAGTTACATAAAAAAGTAAAACTAGTTATATAAAATAGCTGTATAATTGGCGGCCTTATCGCGATGTGCGAGCTCTTCCAGGCAACCCCTAGATGGAGAAGGAAATTAAGGATGGCATGGGGAGTTGTAATTTTAGAGTATGTAACGATACTACGATACAGGATATAAGACTAACAAACTCACATAATTACTTACATAGCACACTGAATACACATAATAAATAAGCTATGTAACAAAGAATTTTATAAATCGGACAAGCCGTTTTTTAGATTAGCGTGTTCATACTTATCCACCTGATAC